TCCTTTATTCAAGGAACGAAGACTTTAAGATATTACCTCTTCCTTTATCCAAGGAATGAGGCTTTCAAGAGTCTTATAAGCGGATCTCGAATGGACGAGGTCTTATAGCTAGGCTCAACTCGAACTATTGGAGTCTTTTAAACTGACTCGAAACGACGAGAACTTACAGTTAGGCTCAACGATAGTGAGAGGCGAGGAATAATCATCTCGCGTGGCCAGAAATAAACATTTGGCGAGTTGCATTTTCCTTTTTTCAAGGAACAAGGACTTCAAGATATTGCATCTTCCTTTATTCAAGGAACGAGGATTTCAAGATATTGCCTCTTCCTTTATCCAAGGAATGAGGCTTTCAAGAGTCTTATAAGCAGGCCTTGGATGGACGAGGTCTTATAGCTAGGCTCAACTCGAACTATCGGAGTCTTATGAACTGCCTCGGAACGACGAGGACTTACAGTTAGGCTCAACAATAGTGAAAGGCGAGGAAAAATCATCTCGCGATGCCCGGAATAAACATCTGGCGAGTTGCCTTTTCCTTTTCTCAAGGAACAAGGACTTCAATAATGTTGCATTTTACAATAAGAATTCCACAATATGCGAGGTCTTAAATATTGCCTTGGACAATAGGGGATCATTTAAAATGATCAATATAACCTTCGAGTAAGAGAGATTAAGGCAATGCATTTTGCAAATACATTATGTTGGCCTACCACCATTTCCAAGATATGGGGGCAAAGATAGGATAATAACTCATTTACAGAAATTAAATCAACCATTATTCCGCAACATGGAAAATTGTTTTGTAACTAGCAGGTAAGAGAATAATTTTGCAACCCCAAAATCTTTGAACTGAAATTTAATATGCAAAATACAGGTGTCCACATATAGAGCACCCTCAGATATGGCCGCCAGATCATTCTTTCAAGTTAAAAGAGAGCCGGCACATTCCAGTAACAATTTCTATTGGTTTTATCCACTTTTGAATTTAGAACACTTCCCAGGTTGTTTTAAATTTGAAGACCAAGATATACAATATATTTATGCCTTTTCCAAAAAATGTTGGCAGTAGGCTGGGACTGCTTTTTCCAAGTGATGTAAAATAAATGGTAGCCCAAATAGAACCAATAATATCATTGGGCCTAATACTTAGCTTATGACACCCAAATAAGAATCATTAGCAAGCAAGTGGATATGTCAAAAGAGCCTGATGACCCCAAATGCAATGAGACCCAATAAATGTTTAGCCCAAGTTGACTTAACATCAAAGTAGAATAAAAAGAGGTCTTTCAATTTTATGGGGCCTTAGGATTTCTTTAGAAGAAATTATAGCCAGCCCTACCTTTAGATTTCTATTTTCATAAATCACATATCATGTTTAACTTTTCATAAATCAGGTTTTTTATATTTAATTATTATAATTAATATAATAAAAGTAAGGTTAATTTTATTTGTTTGGTTGGGATCTTAAGTAAAGAGTAGGGGACGGGTTAGCTGTAAAGAGAAGGGGACGTGAATCGCCGCTCTCCTCCCCCGCCCAACCGCCGTTCTCTCCTCCCATGCCCAACCGCCGTTCTCTCCTCCCGCCCAACATCCGCTCTCTCTTCCCCGTCTCTGTCAACTGGTATTGATGTCGTTGTTGTTCACGTCCACCGGTCGTAGATCTCGCACTGTTCGCCGTTCGCAGATCTCGCACGTCGCCGTTCGCAGATCTCGCAGCAGCGACGTCGCGTCGCTGCTGCGTTTCACGATGCCGCAGGTAAATTCTATGGCATTGTAGTTTTTCGAACAGATCCACTGTTGGTTTTTGATTTTTGGTGCACAGATCCGGCAGCAGTGGTGTTGATAGCCATCCGGCGCCGACGGCGGTTTTGTGTGGTTGGATGCGACGGTGGTGCTAGGGTTTTTGTGTGGTGCTAGTGGTGTTTTGTGTGGGGGTATTGGTTGTTTCGACGGTGTGTTGGTACTGGTTGCAGGTGAGATGGTGGCGGTTTTGAACCGGTGAGGTTGTGGAGGTTTTGGTGCGGGGGCGGCGACGATAGTGGATATTGTTGGTGGTCTGTGACCAAATATTTGGTTATCTGTGAGCAAGTATTTAACTGTGACCTAAATTTTTGACTATGTGACCAAAAAATTATTA